GCATTCTCTTGTGATATGACAGAGTTGAGTGCCTGGATGGATTATTAATCTTTAATAAATATTTTCAACGTATCAAATTTAGATAACAAAATTATCATTTACCGAGATCCAATAGGTGAAATTTTAGTCTAAAAATATTTAATTTCGTTTTAGATTGATTTATGAAGTTTATTAACTACTATAAATTAATATATCACTAAGCCACAAAATTATTATTGGCATGATTAGACAACTTTAAAAAGAAAAAATTTGATACGAGGGATATTCCTACCTGTCACAATGTAAATTCGATATGTTAGCATATGTAAACTTAATTTTTTCCAATAATACATAAATATGAAATAAAATTTTCATTTCTCAAATTTCCTCATTTATAATACTTTTACTGATCTAATCCATAAGCAAAATATCTTGATCCTAACCTTAATACAATAATAATATTATGCACCTCCATGTAAATATACTTTAAGTATTTTCTTTATCATAATACTTTATATTCTTTTCAGAACAATGTTGTGAATCGTGATACTATGAGTTCTTCTTCCTGAACATTTTCATTTCAGATTCATTGTCAATATCACTGGGTTTATTATCATTTCGTCATATATGCCGTGGGAGAAATCCTGGGTATTATTCATCTAGATATATATTAATAAAATTCTAGTTTAAAGGAAAGTTTTAAAGAAAGATGCAAAATTAAATACTCGTGACAATTTACAAAACATGAGACATATGGTCGAAGTAAAAAGTTTTCATTAGGTTTTGTAAAAAAAAAATGTAAACAAATTAAACAAATTTAATACAATTATGAGCATCCATTTGTACAAATATTTGTAATAAACTTGTAATATCTTCACACAGTATTTAAGATAAATTCATTATAAACTTGTGATGTTTTTATGTAAAATTCAAAGGTAATCTGTTATATACTTGAAGTAAATTTGTATTTTATCATAGTGACATCTTTTCTATAACAAATAATTTAAAAATATTACTAAAAAAAAAATTCTGGAGACCTTAAAATAAAAAAAAATGAGAATATATAAATAAACACTATTAGAATACATTGAGAATATAATTTAAATGGAAACAAAGTACCTGTATTCATTTATTATTGTATTGTGTTCAAACATTATTAAAACCATTCATATTGTCTTACATCTGCAAGTGGGATGTTTTACTGCTGAAAAGGAGTCTTTACCTTCTTTGCTTTAAACTTTTGGCCAGAAGTTACAACAGTTTTATCATCATTAATATTTGGTTGTTTTGCTTTAGACCTATGATCAAGACATTTGATATTTTAATTATACTTGTAGCTGAAATCCCTCCTAGTTTCAGTATTGGGTTTTGAACAGTTTAGTATTCAAAAACTGCTTTCCAAAACTGAAATCCTGACCAAAATCCAAACTATGTCCAAAACCTATTATAAGTCCAAAACCTAACTTTATTTATTGCTTTAACTATTAATAATATATCAAACTCCCTATAAAAAAATTATTATGAATATATTCTGATTTTTATCTGGTTCTTGTGTTCCAAAAATCTTCCAATTTTTATTATCGATTTTTCCACAGAAAGTGATCATTTTTCAGAATAATAATTGCATACTTTACCTGAAAATACTTGAATTATACTCTGTAAATTTCATAAATGCAAATGGAGTATTATCGGATGATTTACAAAGATATTATCTTGAAATTATTCAGTAAATTTTATGAATGCAAATGGAAAATTAATGATATTTTCTGAAACTATTCAGTAAATTTCATAAATACAAGCAGAATATCATCATAATTTAATGAATAATAGAATAATATCCTATTTTCAAGAATTCTTGCAAGTATTGTAAATCTTATGAATGGTACTTTGATTCTTAGATGGTTTGGTTGTTCTTTCCAAGCTTGTTCTAGTTGACCTCTTTTTATTACCTATATTTTTATTATAAAGTATTATAAATATTATAACTAGCAAAAGGTCTAAATTATTAAATTCTTGAATGGTTTTCCATAAACTAGATCATGTTGTAATTAAATACATGATGATAAATTGGTAACTCCAAAGGTGTAATATTTTTTCATTCTGGAGGTAGAGAGATAGATGCCTTGTGTATGTGCTTTTTTGATTTTTTTCTTACATTCAGTTTCAACTACAAATATTTTATTATTAAAATGATATATATATATATCAAATAATGCAAGCCCATAATTACCCCAATTTCCAATAATATCTTCAGTAATTTTTTGCAAGGTGAAATCTCCGACAGAAATAGAGAAAGTTGGAAAGTCACTTTTAAACTTGATAGTAATTTAAACAAGTTAATATATTTAAAAATGTTAAATAATAGGGTTTTGTATTGAACCATCTGGAGACTAATAAATACTAAATATTTACTAATGTTATTATAATATTATTTAGTTGAATATTTGTGTATTTACCAATGTATTAATAATGCCAGCTGTAGCAGAACTTGATGGTTTGGAAATGTTAGGAGTAGGTTAATGATTTTGTGTAGTAACTGTTGAAATTGCTTGTTGATTTGTTAATAATAGCTGGAATAGTGAAGATACGCTTGGAACAAGTTCTGTATTTGCAGTGGAATTAGTTATTCTTATTCATGTTATTATCAGCTATAATCTACAATAAACCAGAATAAATTAGAGAAAATAATTTTGTATTTGTAATAGCAAGATTTATTAATATCAATTTATAATACTTACTTATTTTATATTAATTTGATATTTTCTTATTAACATAACAAGAGTAAGAATGTTGAAAAAAATAAAAGAGATAAATGAAAAGTTGGCAAATAAATTATTTTAAAAATAAACTTTTAATAAATATTATTTTTTATAGAAACTAACTTTTCATAAATTTTTTAATAAATATTATTTTTTTTTTATCAAAATAAACTTTTAATAGGTATATCTTCCATAATAGTATTATCAGTAATCTGTTATTATTAGTTTTTTTTGGTATAGTAATTGTCGCAGTACTATGATTAATAATTATGATCAGTATCTGACTCACTTAATTTTTACTAATAATTCATTGTATATCCATATTTATTCAGAATATTTCTAGAAAATTTTCTTATATTCAATTTCAAAATTTTGACTTAAAGCATCATTTATAATGTAATTGGAATATTTTCAAAATATCTGGAAAATAATTGGAGGGTATTGCACAAAATTTTTATAGTAATTGTAGTAACATGGTCAGTTATTAATAGTTAATACTAGTATTTTATAAGTGAACATTCAATCAAATCAACTATGTTTTTGTGAATTATTTGAAGTCATCAAAAGATACAGGTATTTTAATACATATAAATAATTGAAGAATCAGATGTAAATTAATAGCAAGAGATAAACTAAGTTCTTGATTTTAATCAAACTGTTTATAAATAGATATCCATTCATGAATTATTGGGATTTTATTACCTAACATTAAATCAATATATGTATAATTAAAATATTTACTGACAGATTGTATCAAATAAACTCTTGCAATGTCTTTAGTTATACTTTGCAATATATAGTTTGCTCAGAATTCTCATAAAGTTTCTGCATAACTTAATCTGATTATTGTCTTTTTTCAATAAAGGTACCTATCTTCCAAATGAGAGCTCAATTAAGATTATTGTTTGATTTTTTGAGTTATATTAATATCTTAGTAAATCCATCAATTTTATGTTTCTTCATATAAGGAGTAACTTAAAATTTTTAAATTTGACAATTGATATTTATCATATAAGATTAACAACATCCTGATGCATATGAAATAGCCTAGTTGTTATCATTAAAATAAATAAATATGCAGTAGACATTTTTGGCCCGCATTATAGAATTATATTTAATTCTGGCCAAAAGATGATCCAGGCCGGCAGGCCCCTGAACTCGAAATTTATCAATTAATAAAAAAATTTTTTTTTTTAATTAATTAAACATTAGCCACAATTAACTTGATTGGATAATGTTTGATTAAATTCTCAATTATCTAATTGTCCAATGTCCAATTTTTTTTTATTAATTCTGAGATTTTTTTTCATTGTGGCGTGGTTATAGAAACGGCAAGATTATATTTGCTGCGCCAAAATATAAAAAATTTGATTTATTGGGATTCGATTTTTAGATTCAATTAATCGATTCTATTAGATACGATTCGATTTTCGATTAATTCCAATCCCTACAACATAGTGCTGGTGAAAAGGGCATAATGTGAGCCAGAGATGCTTAACTTCATAATAACGGGGAAAATATAACGAATGAACGAATTTGGACAAGTATTTGTAAGAACAAGTAATCCAGTACAAATTCTCGTTCAACTTGGTTGATCTAAATAAAATAAAAAAATGCTGCGGCAAAAATATAAATAAGCAACGCCAAAACTCTGGCCGATTTCGTAAAGCTTTACAGAAATAAAAAGAAAATTCTCATGGTCTCAAATTTATTTTTCTTTTTTTATGAAATCAGATATAATTAAAATTGATGACTTTCTCGATAAATTTTAAATCTACTAATTAATAATCTTTGGAACGTGTTATAAGACACATTTGTGAAAATTATAAATCAAATAATCAAAAAAATAATTATAGATGAGAAATTAAATAAAAACTTTATATTTAACTTATAGTTATATATAAATATATTTAATAAAAGTAAACAAAACGTTAGTATTTGTTGTTGACTTAGCCAAGTCTTTAAAAAACTTGTTGTCACCTGATCACCAACGTTGAGGTGCAGCAACATCGATCAGGGAGGGGAGAAAGGAAAGGAAAGAGAAAGAGAAAGGAGGGAAAGGAGAAAGAGCGAGGGAATAAGGGAAGGGAAAGAGGGAAAGTGAGAAGGGAAAAGGAAAAAAGTAGGGGAATAATGGAAGGGAAGGGGAAAGTAAGCAAATAAGGGAAAGGGAACAAAAAAGATTATCCAAATCATGTGCAAAGGATCTGGTAAGATCCCAATGTTACGCAGTACAAGAATGTGACTAATTACATATATTTGTCACGTGATATGTTCGTCGTGATTTTTAGCAGAACCCGTGTATGGGGTCCATATATTTTGCCCATCACAAATCAAACGTAATTTATCACAGGGCAGTATTCGATAATTAACATTTCCTAAAAATTACATATTTTTAATGTTAAAGAAAAAAAAAAAAAATGTTTTTTTATCGAACCTAATTTATTAATAGAACATAGAAAGATGCGATAATTAATTTTGAAAATTTTTTACTTGAATCTTTAAATAAGTACTTTTTACGTATTTTTATGTCGTAGATACATATAATGTAATATGAAAATATAATAAAATACTAACAGCTAATAAAAGCAAAATTACCATGTTTTTCTTTCAATTAATATTATCATTTGATATAAGCAAGATTTGTTGAAAAAAAAAAATATTATTATAATAAAAATTATTAATAAATAAATAAAATAATGAAAAAGAATTTTATAATATTTGCATATAATATTATGAGTTACCAAATTACAAATTACAAAGATAAAAGAATCCATTTATTTTTGTGGATTATAATCTGCGATATAATTTAATGAGCATCCCTGATAGCAAGACGTACTCCCTTGATAATTAGAGTCAAAAGTACAATGAGCATATATATCCATTGACAGTGTGACTTTCCCTCCTGGAGGGGGGAACCTTGAAGCATCAAAATCGTAAGTATGCGTGTAATCAATTGCTCCTTGATAAACTTTGTCACAATCCGGTTGTGGCCCATATACGCAATTATTTGAATCTACGAGATTATCCTCAGAGTAACCATTTACCCATTGACGGTCTACCCAAATAGTAGCAATCGGGTCATTTGGGTTATTTGTGTAAATTTTATAATTACCAATGATCATTGGCCCCTGTTGCAAACAACAAGGGTAATAACCAGGATGTGAAACTCTTTGTGGACCATGTACGGTTACTTCGACCTGATTATTTTGTATAAATTTAATGTCTACAATGCTAATATCTTTTTATTACGATAAAATAGCATAAAGTAAAAAAAAAAAAAATAGATGATTTATTAACATCACGCTATCTTGTGCAGAATAAAAATGGTTCTTAGATAGCTTACCTGTGCAATCATGATCAAATCTCCAAGCAAAGATATTGGAGAACGTATTAAGAAATACAATAATAAACACGATATATTTCATGATTGATGAATTGTTTGTATAATGGAATTAGAGGGAACTATGTTTATATTTATATATCAGCAGAATTCAGATTTTAATTTTGTACTAAATAAATTTGGGAATATTTTGATTTCATTTTGATATAATTTAATAACGTGTATTATTATATTTGTTAATCCTTCAAAGAGCTCTGTTTAGAAAGAACTGAAATATTTGCAGAATGAATATGAGAATTATGAGATGCATCTACATACACAAGCAATGTTCTATTTAATAGGAATATATCGGAAGTAATACTAATTAAAATAAACTATCTGAAAGGAAAATTGGTAAATCAAGTATGCACCTTTCCTTCCCCTTTAATAAAAAAGTGTATAATTATATTGGGAATTAATTTAATTTTACCCCTCGAAAAAAATTGATTGTGGATAAAAATGCCGATCTTATATTACATGTAGTGATAATGTAAAACTAATAGAGTAACTTCGACCAAAATTTTGATTAGATTAGAATTCCACTGAATTTCTTATCCTAAATAACTTGAAAATAATGAAAATCTAAAAAATATTTCCACAAAATATTTCCACTAATATAATATTACTTGAAAAAATTTGATAAAGTAATCTCAATTAATTTAAGGTAGCACAACTAACACATGCTTACATAGGTAATGGTTTTTCGTTTTCCTTCTTTTGTAATACCAGTTTATATATCACCCAATGGAAAAAGAAGCCACCATATTTGATAGGAAAATCCAGGTAAAATTGGATCAAAATTTTATATATTTTTTTTTCTTATTTTTTTTAATAATTTGTATATTTAAATATTTTTTTCAAAACATAGAAAATTTCAAAAATATAATGGTTAAAAAAATTAAAAATAAAACAATAATAGTTTATTCCGTGGATATCATTGATTTTCACGATATTCTATAGTGACGTAATTTTATTAATCAGATGATCGATGGTCATCATAGATATCCTTATTAGTTAAAAATCCAGTCATACATATCTTTCTAATGGCGTGTATGATGACAGTTTATTGGGATAATATCCTCATTACGCCTACTAAAAAGACGAAGGTAGAAGAGCCGGAAAGGAGTTTAAATAAGGTAATAAACGGATGGATACTATTAATCCTAAAGTTATGAAGGAGAAAAGTAAAACAAATAAATTTTCTTAATTTTATTTTTTTTTGTCGGGCATGTTTACTTATTCTAGATAAAAAATCACACACGATATATTTGTTCAAATTATTTTGATTATTTCATTGCCGATCCAGAAAGAATTAATTAAAAATGAAAATCGGAATAAAGGCAAATCGCCGATTGATCTGATCGTGTCATTATCCTGAAGTCAATTTTCCGATTGGCCATTTCCAGACTGCGAATTTCCCGAATTTCCCGAAACTCTAAGGATGAAATAAATAATACTATATTTACTCATACAGTATATAAGTTAATAAAAATAGTAAATAAAAAAAATTACGTAAAAAGAATATTAGCATAAGTTATAAAATTCAGTTTTAAAAAAACCGGAGCGAAAAATATTAAAAATTCAGTTTTAAGAAAAATAGAAAGAAAAGATTATTAAAATATAAGTTTTAAAAAACTGAAAAAATTGAAAAAAAAAAAAAATTTCGACACAAAGAGTGACCAAAAAAAAAAAATAAACAAATATAAAAAAAAACAGCTTAAAAAAAGAGACCAAAAAGAGACCGAAAAAAATAATATTTATTTTTAAAAAAAAAATTTAATTTATTTATTTCTGACAAATTATAATCTGACAATACTTCTTTTATAAGCACAAATATTGCTTTTGACAATATTGATACAGTATTTGTCATATGATCTCTCCTTGTGTATAATTTCAGAATTGTTTTGAAGTACGTGTTCCATACTTGCAATTAAATAAAAATAAGTGAATTACAGTATATATTTAAAGAAAAGATGTAAGTATATTCTTAAATATTACAATAGTGAGAAATGGTCATTATTAGAATTAAATAATATAATTTAGTCATTATTTGAAGTCATTACAAAACCCTGAAACGAATTCCTTTTTTGTGAACACTTCAAGGGGTACAAGAATCTGATAAAAAATAACCATTGTAGAAACACTAATCCAAACAAACGCTTCAAAGGCTGCATGGAACATTTGGAGCACTCATAGAACATTAATCTTCTTATTTTCCAGAAGCTTTACAGTACGGTTACGGACTTCTTGTGAGTAGCTTGGATCTTAATTTAATTTCGCAAAACACTATAGAAGGTATGGTTTACTTTACGCTCAAATGTACTATACATCTTTGTAATAATACTGTTATTATGGGAAAAATTTTGACTATGAATTTTCTTTCTGGAACTTAAAAAAAAAAGTACTTTTTTTTGCGCCGATACTTCAACTTTGACTAAAATTTATGGTTACGATACATTTCGCCGAAATCCATCTCACCGAAACCATTTCACCAAAGGGATATTTCACGTTTACCGAAAGGACGTTTCGCCGAAAGTGCATTTTTCGAATCCATTTCACCGAATCGCCCATTCCATTTCGTTAAAAATGGTAGCGATTAACATTTTAATAAAAAAAATGTTCATCGCACAATGAAAATAAAAATTAAATTATTTTTAGAGAATTTTTTTTTCCAGGATATTATTCAAGTATAACTGATATTAATTGTTAAGAAATAAATAAATAACTTATTTTTCTGAAAACATTTATTTATTCACGAAAAAGTAAGTAAAAAAAAAAAGACTATTAATATATTATAAACAACGAGATAGATTTAATAAAATCAGCTAATTCAAAAATAAACATTTCTTTTATGTATTTACAATAAAATAACCAAATGGAATAAATAATTTTTCGGCGAAATGTCCATTCGGCGAAATGGATTCGACTAAATAGTTTCGGTGAAATGGACTTCGGCGAAAAGTCCGATACCAAAATGTATAGCCTCGAAGATAAATAAAATATGAAATTTTTTAATATGTCTAATGATAACCTTTCGGAATTATAAAGCTTTGATATTATTTTTCTTACGTCAGACACATACCATTGAGTTAAACGCATACAACAGTTTGAATGGAAGAAAAGTCCGCAATTGACACTCGGAACGTCACTGTTTATAATTGATTATTTGATTTTTAATTACCTAAATAATAGCAAAGTAATAATAATTTAAATCCTTACATCCAAGGATCATGTATAATTTTGGTCAGAATTATAAAATACATGATGTAAGTGACATCTGACTAGTCATTTTCCATCATTATATGCATTTTATTTTTATTTTTGTTTTTAAAATTTAGACAATGATGCAATATGCATAATAAAATTTGTGCTATATCACAACAAAAAATTATTACGTCTATGATCACGTGATCGTTTTATCGAATCATTAAAAATCAAAATTTTTGTCAAAGTCACGTGATTTGATACACGAAATTACTAAATTAACTAAAAAAGGAACGATTTACATATAGTATTTTTAGTTCATATTGTTGCCTTTTTATGGAGTAGTGCAACGTACGTTTAATAAAGTTAATAAAATTATTTCATTTTGAAAATGAAAACCACTTCTCTTTCTTTCTTAACATGGCATGTTCAAAAATATTTTCAGGAGATTTACCCGAATTAACAAATGAAATTATACAACATTTTAGAAAAGATTTTTCAACATTATATTCGTGTCTTTTAGTTAATAGATTTTGGTGTCGTTTAGCGATTCCATTATTATGGGAAAATCCTTTTTTCAATCCTAACCGAAATTATCGTTATGTTGAAATTTATTTATCCTATTTAAGTGAAAGTAGTAAAGAAAAATTTAATGAACATGGTATTATTATTAATAACCTATTACCTTCAAATACATTATTCAATTATCCTAGTTTTATTAAATTTTTAAATATAAGTAGCATTTATTTTTCTATTAAAGAGTGGGTTGATATTTTAGTGGATAATAATCATGAGGATCTAGAAAAATTAGTTTATAGATCATTATTTGAGGTGTTTATTGAAAATGGAGGAATTTTACATTCTTTTGAAATTGCAATGTTTTCAGATATTGGAAATTTTAATGATACTATGGAATTGATTTTACAAAATCCAGGGTTTATATACAAGATTAGAAATTTAAAATTTCAAACCTGTAATATTTCATTTCAAAATATTATGAACATTATTCCTATCTTAAATTTTTTAAATTCTAATTGTAATTCAATCACATCACTTAATTTTTATTTTTATTTTGCTTTATCTAATATTAATGATTTTTCATTAATTGAAAATTGTTTATCACAAATAATTATTTCACAACTTAATCTTAAAATAATTTCATTTAGTTCTTGTAGTGTTATTTTATATAAACCATTTTTATCATTAAGAAATTCTAATTGTCCAAATACTTTAAATACAATTATATTTGATAATATTGACTTTAAAAATATAATTATTACTTTACAAGAAGTATTTGATCAATTGAATGTTATAGAATCTATTCATATTGTCAATTGTAATTCTTTAAATTCTGAATTTGTTCAACAAATTATTAAGGTTACTAAACCTTTTAAATTGAGAACTTTATTTATGAAGGAAATCTTGCATATTGAATCATTACAATTTCTATTACAAAAATGTGGTGATTATTTAGAAAATTTCGAATTTGGATATACAAGCGAAGAATATGAAGAATCAAGACGACAATTACTTAAACTAGTTATAAAATATTGTACAAAAATTAAACGTCTTATTTCACCCAAGCCTGATGATAATAATATTTATCTATTAATTAAAAATATTGGAAAAACTATTAATTATCTTACAATTAATAATTATCATGATGAATATAGCTCAATTGTATTACAAAATTTAGGACAAGTTCTTCCTTCTAAATTAGATTATTTACGATTATCACTTTCATTTAATTCAAGTGATCTTGAAATATTTTTAAGAAATTCTCAACATACTTTTATTAAGAAATTATTAATTAGTAATATGATGCAAAATGAAGGTGAAGGTATTTTATTTTATATAAAGGAATATATTATGAGGAAGGAAAGGGTTAAATATTTGGCTTTTTCAGAATATTATCCTAATGATGATACGGATAGAGAATTGTTTTCTTTAGAAGATGAAGTAAATGAATTTAAATTACATAATATTATAGTTCAAAAATGTTCTGATTTATATACTTCTATGTATAGTTTTATTTACGATTTTTATATATAACTACTATTTACGCAATTTGTATGTGTACTACATCACTATATAAGATTGGAAATAAAGCAAAATAATTTATCATTATTAATTAAAATATCAATAGTTCAAATCAGGTTATTTGTTTAATGTTTTTTATAATTTATTTACGAATTTAATATTTTGACCATACATAATAAAGGAAATTTATTTAAATTAAACGATTGCAAATATAAAATATTTAATTATTTGATAAGATTAATTATTTTTTACACTTCTTTTCATAGAATTTAACAAAATCAAATAATTTCTTATTAATTTATTTAATTTATATATATCAAATAAGTGAAAAACAATGTAAGATCATTGATGTTTCTCAGTGAATTCTCACATCACAAAAAAAATTATAAATAAAGATTTTTTTTTAGGGTTAGTTCATTGATATAGAACGGTGTCATATAATGAAGGATTATAAAGCACACAAAGATTTGGGGCTCTTTCCACCGATCATCATGTCCATAATTTTTAGGATGCAAAAAAAGGTGGAAGAGTGCAAAAGTTTACTATAAGAAAATTTTATTACAGTACCAGACAAACATTACCAACTGACAACTGTATATTCATATAGCTTTCGTTTGAGACCACTTTCGTGGAAAGTTGATATGAAGAAGGTCTGTGGGCTTTTTCAAGTTTTTCTTTCATCTTCGGCTAGATAGGTGTTTCGAGCCTAGCAAGTTAATGGGGCTCATTATATCACAAAAAGTTTGCGGCAAACGGTGTAAGAACGGGGTTTGACTACCTATTTTTCGCTTTGGCTTTTTGCGAACTTAGACTCGAACCGACTTGGACTTGGCTTCCTGACAATTTTTTTCATTCCGTGGCGCAGAAACAACTTTAACATGTGCTTGGGACAACCAAAAAGGAAAGGTTTTTTACCCGTAGAACTAACCATATGGAGATGGCACCATCGATTACGTGGATTACGCAACTTTTTGTACCACTCTGACGAGTCTTCTGGAATCAACCTTCGGCGTAATATCAGTATCTTACACCTGCGTTTGCTCTACCGGCGTCTTAAACGTCATTAGAGGCCATTAGGGAAGGAATTCTCCCTTGAATTCAATTTAGTTTTATTTTTTTTTCTGTTTTATTTTTGCCGCTCTTTTACATATTGTATTAGTTTTAGTTTTTTTGGAGTCTGGTGCACGTAGTTTATTTAATTTAGTTTAGATTTGTTAGCTATAGGGTTATTGTTAATTTCCTCTATGTATTTTGGTTTCTTTTTTGTATTTACGTTCTGTAAAATACTTAAATAAAGATGCATTGCTAACTTTTTTTTTTTAAAAAAAAATATTTACTTCAGAAGCAGAAAGATATACATTATTTACATCATCATGAAATAAATGTTGTTTTTCATACCAAAGCTTTTATCGAATTCCTATTTCTGTCTTTTATGAACAATTACTCTGTTTACAGATCTTTCTATAGAACATATTAGCCCTGTTCATTGCATTTTTCGGTCGGATTTTGTTGTACAAAATTATTCAATAAAAATTTTTTATTTTCGATCGCAAATTGAACTGCTTTAGATTGAAATTTAGTTCGAACTCCTTATATTGATATATTTTTTTCTTAAATGTCACGTAAACAGAAATTATCTAATTTTGGTTTGTTATTTTTTTGGAGTTCGACCAAAAAACCCCAAAAAAATTGGGCTAAAAAGTTCAGAAAATGGTTGCATTGTACAAACTGATCAGCCCAATCAAAATTAACTTAAATCTGACCAAAAAATGCGACCAACCGGAAATTAACAGGGCTATTGTTATTGAAATCCTTAAAAATATGGGACTGATATTTGATGACAAAGAATTAATTAAAAATATTAGTAATTATATTCAAATTCGGATCTGTTCTTGAACATGTGCGTGAATAATATAAATATAATCTTCAATTATATTTTATTCATATAATGAAAAATATATAGAATTTATTTCTTGATATAGATTTTTTAAAAATATCATATATTTTATATCGTTATTACCAATAATTTCAGAAGAAATTCATGATAATTATAAATATATTAATATAATGAGTATAGTACTATAGTGGCGTGTCTAATAATTCAGTAAGTAGTATGCAATATGTAATATATTTAAAACAATAAAAAGATATTATTGGGCGTTTTTTATAAAACTAGTAACGATTTTGTTGATCATTTTTGTTGATCATTTATTTTAAATTTATTATAAATTTTGTCACGAGATTTTCTATGGAAATCATTTCTCAATTTGTTATTAAAACACCTGCTGAATTGCCTCGAAATTGAAAATCATTTCCCTTTTTATAAAAAAATTTCCTTTTTGGTAAAAAACTCTCAGATTAATCTTATATAACTTTATGTAAATG